TTTATTTTTGATATTTTTGTATAATTCTTTTTAAATTTTTACAAATTTTATTCCTTTTTAAATCACTTAAGATTTCTTAAGATATTTTAGACCTCATCAAAATCCCGTCCCATAATATGAAAATATTTAAATTTAAAAGTTTTGATGAATTTCTTTTAATTGCAGGCACATTGGCGATGCGGCCATAACATGTCACTGTCCCAGTGGCTACAAGGGAACCAAATGTGAAATACCCGAAATAGTCGAGGCGACGCAGGGTGAGTAGAGTCTCTTACCCCAGAAAGTAAATCAAGTTTAATCAGGCGTAACAAGCAATAAGTAATTGAGCGTGTGTGGCAGGAAAAACAAAAATATTTCGTTAAGTCAGGAATACCAAAAGGAGCACAGAGAGCGATAGCAGGAGAAGGCGAAGGAGCAGAAGCAGGAGCAAGGGAACGAAGATTGCAGCAAATGAAAAATGAAGCTGGAGTGGGGGAAATTTAATTAAGGCAATAATTAAGCATTTAAATTGCGCTCGATGCAACATTTAACGAAACGAAACATTCATTTCAAGTGTTGGAAACGAACCTGAGGGGTCGGAGGTCGTAGTTTGGGGCATACGACACACGAGCCATGACCCGCCAACACTTTGCGCAGTGACTGGGAAGAGCATCTGCTATTCAGTCTGGCTCGATGTGTTCTTTGTCTCCGTTTGCCACGCCCCATTGTTGAATTAGTTTTGCAAATGGGCAACTGTTGCGAGCAGCGAACAATTTCATGGAATGATTTATCCACATTTCTGCCATAGCGATTGACGTATATTAAATTACGTGAAGAGTTTTGTATAAACTGGTGTTGAAATTCAAAGAAACATGCAAATTGTGATGGGTAGAGGAATGTGAAGTATTTTATATTATTTGCCAACTGTGAATTTGATTGGCTTTAAGATAGAAATAGATAGAAATTTAGTTATAATACATATAGAAATAAAACCATTTTATGTAATATCCAGTCTTAGAAAATCCCATATTTCATATCTACTTCATAGACCCCTCCTTATATTCTGCTGTAGGGTGCATAAATAATTTATAGTTCTTCATATTTTGACACAGCAACTATTCCACCCGCTTTGCATGTGTCAGAGCGGAACAGAAATCCATCTGTTGGCTTGGCGTTCCCCTGGCAACGTGTCTCTGGAATGACAACGTCATCGAATTTGACATTCGGCTTGGCACAGCTCAGCGAGGTTCAGGTGGGAAATGCATTGGCAATGCGGGAGGAGTTGGGCTGTGATTAGGGAGTGAGAGGGGAGATGATGGCGAGCTTATCTCGGTGGGTGTTTGGCACTTGGCGTAAACATTTCTCGCATTTCTCGTGCGCTGTAATGTCTCTTATTGCATTTCCAGAAATGCTCTGGCCTGGCCTTTAGTTCTTTGTGTGGCTATGACTGGACATTATTAAGTTATTCCAGCTAGCTTAAAGCGTTTGCGCATTCAGCATTCACCTCTCGGCCTTGGCTTCATTCAAATGGGAGTTTTTTTTCTCACATTTTATTTTGTGCTTTCAGGTTGCATTGGAAATGCCAGCGTTAGTAATTGCCATCGTGCATGTGAATTTGACAACGGCAACAACAACAACTACAACAGCAACAACAACAACAACAACAACAATGGCGCCTCTAGCGCCAGCTCGAGCATTTTCAACGTGCGAAGCAATCGCAATGCAGCACGTAGTGGCAAGACCCGGTACGAGGTGACCATGCGACTGGGCGCCAATCTGACCGGATACTATCGCAATGCGGAGCGCGAACAGTTAGCCGGCGTCATGGAGCGACAGGTGAGTGGGTTATAAAAGCATTTGTACATATAATGGAAAGCACTCTAAGAATTAGATTAGGATACTTGTAACACTTAACCAGCCCAGACAGGCGGCCAGACTCGCTCTCACTATCACCCAGACGCTCGCCCTCCCCCTTTCTCACTCTCTCTCACTCATTCGCTTTCCTTCTCCCGTCGCATATACCAACTGCCGATAGCTACGTGACCCACATGATGCGATATGTTACGCTGTGTGTGCAGTTGCTTTAACTCTCACGCGATTCGCGATTCGCGATTTTATTTATTCTATGAAATAAATTAATTTATATTAAAAAAAAAAAAAAAAAAAAAAAAAATTTAAACAAGAAGTTGTCTCGAATAGAGAGTCTAGACTAGATTCTTAAATCTCTATCCCGCGACGCAATTGTAAGATTTTTGAGCCAAGTCTACTTCACTATGTAAGTAATGAAGTATACTTAATATACTCTTCCATATTATTATTTTTGGTCCATCCCTTAAGGAGATCAACACTAAGTAAATTATTTAATTATTAAGCTTCGTACAACATTTTAGGTGCTCTAGAATAAATAGCGACGAAGTAGTTTGCTATTATACAGACGGACAGACAGACATTTCATAATACCAATATACTCGTTTTTTCTCGTAAGTAGTATAAATATTTAATCTATATATGAGAAGAGTCGATCAAATCAATTTTAATCATATATATAAATTAATAAAGTAA